TAAGTAATATATATATATATATATATATATATATATATATATATATATATATATATATATATATTGAAACAGAAAATCAGAAAGACGGACAGACAGGCAGACAGACAGACACATGTATAGATTGGCATACAGGCAGACAATCGGATAGATATATACATGCAAACCGAAAGACATAGACAGGCAGACAGATAGACAAATAGACAGACAAACAGATAGACAAATAGACAGACAGATTGACATGCAGACATACTGACCGACAGACACGGACATACATACTTAGAGGCAGACAGATAGACACACAGAGAAACAAACACTGACAGACAAACAAACGGAGAAACAAACAGACTGACAGACAAACAAACTAAAAAGACAGACAGACAATTTGACAGACCCTACAAACAGATAGCCCCCCCCCCCCCCCAGTTTAAGCGAAACCAGGAAAGACCCCCACACTTCCACTTCGAAGACCTGTTTAAGACGCACCTTGACTCGACGAATGAATTCCTACTTCACAGGTACGGAATTATCTACAGGGCGTAGTGAGAAAATACGAGAGACAGCCCCGTAGTGATAACGCCACCTCGCCTTCCTTAACAACAGCGCCTCCTGTGTTCGTTGGCTTTCATATACGCAGGACGGATTATGTGAAACATGCTAAGGTAAAAGCAAAGACGGAAAAAAATGAAGAAAGGGGGAAAAGAGGGGAAGGAAGAAAAAGGGGAAAAGAGGGGAAGGAAGAAAAGGGGAAAAGAGGGGAAGGAAGAAAAGGGGAAAAGAGGGGAAGGAAGAAAGGGGAAAAGATGGGAAGGAAGAAAAGGGGAAAGAGGGGAAGGAGGAAAAGGGAAAAGAGAGGAAGGAAGAAAAGGGAAAAAGAGGGGAAGGAAGAAAAGGGAAAAGAGAGGAAGGAAGAAAAGGGAAAAAGAGGGGAAGGAAGAAAAGGGAAAAGAGAGGAAGAAAAAGGGAAAGAGGGGAAAAGAGGGGAAGGAAGAAAAGGGGAAAAGAGGGGAAGGAAGAAAAGGGAAAAGAGGGGAAGGAAGAATAGAGGGGATGGAAGAAAGGGGAAAAGAGGGGAAGGAAAAAAGGGGGAAAGAGGGGAAGGAAGAAAGGGGAAAAGAGGGGAATTAAGAAAAAAAGGGAAAAGAAGGGAAGAAAAGGGAAAAGAGAGGAAGGAAGTAAGGGGAAAAGAGGGGAAGGAGGAAAAGGGGAAAAGAGGGGAAAGAAGTAAAGGGAAAGAGGGAAAGGAAGAAAAGGGAAAAGAGGGGAAGGAAGAAAAGGGAAAAAGAGGGGAAGGAGGAAAAGGGGAAAGAGGGGAAGGAGGAAAAGGGAAAAAAGGGGAAGGAGGAAAAGGGAAAAAGAGGGGAAGGAAGAAAAGGGAAAAAAGGGGAAGGAAGAAAGGGGAAAAGAGGGGAAGAAAGAAAGGGAAAAGAGAGGAAGGAAGAAAAGGGAAAAAGAGGGGAAGGAAGAAAAGGGAAAAGAGAGGAAGGAAGAAAAGGGGAAAAGAGGGGAAGAAAGAAAAGGGAAAAGAGAGGAAGGAAGAAAAGGGAAAAGAGGGGAAGGAAGAAAAGGGAAAAGAAGGGAGGAAGAAAGGGGAAAAGATGGGAAGGAAGAAAAGGGGAAAATAGGGGAAGGAAAAAAGGGGAAAAGAGGGGAAGGAAGAAAAGGGGAAAAGAGGGAAAGGAAGAAAAGGGGAAAAGAGGGAAAGGAAGAAAAGGTAAAAGAGGGGAAGGAAGAAAAGGGAAAAGAGGGAAAGGAAGAAAAGGGGAAAAGAGGGAAAGGAAGAAAAGGGGAAAAGAGGGAAAGGAAGAAAAGGTAAAAGAGGGGAAGGAAGAAAAGGTAAAAGAGGGGAAGGAAGAAAAGGGGAAAAGAGGGAAAGGAAGAAAAGGGGAAAAGAGGGAAAGGAAGAAAAGGTAAAAGAGGGGAAGGAAGAAAAGGGAAAAGAGGGGAAGGAGGAAAAGGGAAAAGAGGGGAAGGAGGAAAAGGGAAAAGAGGGAAAGGAAGAAAAGGGGAAAAGAGGGAAAGGAAGAAAAGGTAAAAGAGGGGAAGGAAGAAAAGGGGAAAAGAGGGAAAGGAAGAAAAGGTAAAAGAGGGGAAGGAAGAAAAGGGGGGAAATGTATTTTTTTTAGAGGTTCTTATTCAGGCTTGGGTTATAGTACGTGGGTGTTGATAAATGGTTGTTCGTTTGTTAATATTATTATCGTTTTTTGGATATTATCAGCGTCATCTTCTTATATGTAAAAACATTATTTCACTGCAGTTATTGAACAAATCGTGGTATTCTTGTTATTATTCCGTTTATCATTTCATCTCCCATCATCATTCTCTATTTTCGAATTTCAGAAAATGTTTGGAGCCAAATTACCCGAAGAAAAGTATTTTAAAAGGGCTTTGAATTACTACCGAAAACGATTCCCAAATAAGGTGGTGTTCATTGCGGCGTCGGATGATATGGTTTTTATTCAGTCCAGGCTAAAAAGCGAGAAAGATGTCTACTACGCCCCAGGTGAGATTTTTTTTTTTTTGTTTTTTTTTTGTTTTTTTGTTTTGTTTTGTTTTTGGGGTTTGGTTTTGTGTTTGTTTTGTTTTTGTTTTTGGTTTTGTGTTTGTTTTGTTTTTGTTTTATTTTTTTTTTGTATATGTTTTTGTTTTACTTTGTTTTTTTGTTTTGTTTTAGTTTTACTTTGTTTTAGTTTTGTGTTTGTTTTGTTTTACTTTTTTTGTATGTGTTTTTGTTTTACTTAATTTTTTGTTTTGTTTTAGTTTTACTTTGTTTTAGTTTTGTGTTTGTTTTGTTTTAGTTTTCGTGCATAAGTGGTATTCGATGTTTTTCTTCGTCGTTTTATTTTATGTATTAATCCACTTATTATGTGTTTTTCATATAAGGGCACTTTTCATGTTCTTTGTTTTTACCATGTGTAGTTTGACTTTTTTGACTTGTGAAATATCATTACTAGACCAGTAAGGATATTATTTATAACCCTATTAATTTTGCTACTGTGAGAGTAAGCAGCTCTGTAGCCAAGGGGGGTGCCTTACGCAAATTTGTTATAATTATTCCCCCCTATAAGTCCTAGAACCCCATGAGAGTGGTAGCGGGCAAAAGAGGGATCCTAGGAGTATGCGAGACTGTATCGTTTCATAGGACGTTCTCCAAAAGAAATGATATAAGAGAAAAAAAACTGAATGAGGGTAAAAACAACTGATCAAAGAATACTTTAGAATAAAATCAGGTAGTAATAAAAAAACACTAAAAATAGATGAGTAATATAGTAATAGTATGGCTCCTGATGTTAAAATTCATTACTTTTACTGATAATCATTATATAAATTAAGTTTATCCATCTCCTAATCAGTAAGAATAAGAGGACTGTCAGGACACGTAACTTTTGTCTCCAAGAGGACTCGGGTGGGCTCGTTGTTCGTTGAAGCCGGCCGTAATTCATTCACCAAAATGTGGGATTGAGGGAAACACAATGTTACTTCGACCAAGTGCGGGCACCGACTGTTTATTTCGCGGGAAAAACAAGATTACACACATGCCGTGACGTCACGGTCGTACATCTTTTCAAACTCAAAAAGACATAAAATATAACTGTTTTTCTTAAAATAACAATACAAATACTTGTTCCCGTTAAAACGAAAATGGATTGATTCACATGATCGAACGAATCATTTATCAAATGGAAAATAAAACAAAATAAAACCAAAGAAAACCAAACCCAAACGGGTATAACTAAAAGAAACCTAAAACTCCCTAAAACCGTAAATGAAGATAAAAAAAAATACGTAAAAGTGTATCAAAGATGCAGGGGGAAACGACAAGCGCCGACTGGTAACTGGGAAGTGGCTTCTCGATCCGGAGAGCGACCGGGCTGCGGGATGCCCGCCGTTACGGGGATGCGGGATGCTGTGGTGGCGAGCGCCACTCTTACAGATTCCTCCCCCTGCCCTGGGTCGAAGCAAGCAGCGGAGACCTGGGAAAGGAAAAGCACTTGAGTCCTGACAGATCCAAGGAGTGGACACGAGTGAAAAAGCGAACTCAATATATATAATGAAAACAGAAAAAAACACAATAAAATACAAACACAATAAAAAGTAAAAAAAAACTACCGTAAATAAATCGTAAAAACAGCATCAGAGAGAGGGAATAAACCGATTTTAGACTATAAAACGAAAAAGAGGACAAGCAACTAAAAGGAAAAAAAAAACAAAGTAAGAATCAGACGAAATTAATAAAACCGACTTCTAAATAAATACTACAAACAGAACAGCCACAAAAGTAGCAGATCTAGGAACAAAACATAAAAAGCGGGTGAAAATCACCTGATACTAAAACCAAACAAAAGGAAAGAAATAGAAATAAAAAGAACAGCAATCCTCACACCAGTGTGGCGTTAGCCATAGACGCACTGGTCGTGACGTCCCTAACATTGGTTATTCTCATTGGCACCTATCTGTTTCAACAGTAGATGAGGGATCTCGAACGTGGGAAGTTAGAAGGGCGACCAAACGATCAGTTTCGGGGTTCTCATTGTCATCATTTGGTCCCTCGTTGTCATCAGCATAAGACAGTTCATCTGGTGGGTGGTAAGGTCGCAAGTGATTAAGATGTGCACGAAGGACTTTACCAGAATCCAGGTCCTGCACTTCAAAGGACACAGGACCAAATCTCTTCGAAACTCGCGCAGGGCCACGCCACTTTGGCCCTAGGGGACGAGGTACCATCTCTTTGAACCATACCAACTGACCAACGCCCGGGGTGAAAGTTCCTTTAGCACGCTGATTATAGGACTTCGAGTAGATCCCTCTGGCATCTCTGGAAGCTGTAACGGCTACACGTCGGGCAAGTCTCAAGCGCTCCTGAAAGTCCACATTGTCATTAAACACAACCTCATTAGTTGAACCGACTGGGAAGAAGGCATGCCTCCCAGTGAGCAGGTAGATGGGTTGTTCTCCAGTTGATCTGTGTATAGCAGAATTTAGAGCAAGACGTAATTCTGGCACATACTTGTGCCAGCCCCCAGGACGATCTCCTACAACACATGCCAGAACTGCCTTAACCACGCGATTGGTGCGCTCAACTAGACCATTAGATTGAGGGTTGTATCGAATTGTGAAATGGTGGGTAGTACGGAGCATTTCTACCATTTCCTCAAACACCTGAGCTATAAACTGTCTCCCGTTATCCGTCTGGATAACACGAGGAGGGCCGAAGTAAGTCACCCAATTGTCCAGAAATGCTCGATGTACTCTAGATGCCGTTATATCTTTCAGTGGTACTATCTGAATATACCGAGAGTGTTGGTCAAGTATTGTTAGCCCCCACCTCATTGGTGCCTGTGTTAAGTCCAGGATGTCCATCGACACCCGTTCAAGAGGATAAAGTGCCAGGGGAGCTTCAGCCATCGGAACTCTCTGGGGTACCCCTCGGGACTGTTGACAGTTGGTGCACTGTTCCACATACTTCCGGACATCACGGAGCATGTTGGGCCAATAAAACATGCTACGGAGATTCTCATACGTCCTGTAGATCCCTGGGTGCATAGCAAGGGGAGGGGTGTGTGCAGCTTGTAGGGCCGATTTGTGGAGTTTCTCTGGAACACACAGTTGGTAAATTATCTTGTCAGGCAGGTGTTTTAAGTGATACAAAACCCCATCTTTCTCTTCAAATTCTGAAAGTGGAAGAGGTGGTTTTCGCTTTGGTACAGTGCCATCTGCTAAGAAAGCAAGGATTTCCCGAAATCTAGGATCCTGGATTTGTTCCAGTGCCAATTCCTGAGTTGATAATTCATTAACATGAATTGGAGCAATCTGTCTTGACAACAAATCTGGTACATAGTTCGTAGGACCCTCCTTATAATGTATCTCGAAGTCATAGAAAGACAGATCGTGGGCATACCGGGTCATGCGAGGAGATTTGGTACGATGTTTAAAAATGTGCACTAATGGACGATGATCCGTGAGAACTAAGAACTTCCGCCCATACAGGTATGGATCAAAGACCCGAACACCCTCAACCACTGCCAATGCTTCACAATCAATGGCAGGGTAGCGGGTTTCGGCATCCCGCAATTTCCTGCTATAGTAGGCTACAGCATGTGGTAACCCTTGGTCATCACGTTGTAAAAGCACTGCGCCAAGGGCTATGCTGCTAGCATCAGTGTGCAGCTCAAATTGACGGGAGAAATCTGGCTGCCTGAGGACAGGTGCTGATACAAGCTTCCTTTTCAGTTCCTTAAAGGCAGCTTCTTGTTCCTCGCCCCACTTCCATGGCTGCCCTTTCTTAAGAAGAAGGTGAAGTGGAGCTGCAATGGTTGCGTATGCTTCGATGTGCTTGCGAAAGAAGCCTGTGGCCCCCAGGAATCTACGTACCTCCTTTACAGTCTGGGGTGCAGGAGTTTCATTGATGGCAGCTATCTTGCTCTGATCTGGTGACAATCCTTCTTGGGATATGGTGAACCCCAGGAAGTTAATGGTGGTCGCTGCAAAGCTGCACTTACCAGGGTTCAGCTTCAACCCTGCTGCTGCCAGAAGCTTCAGGGTCTCCTCCAGATCAAGCAGGTGTTGAGAGAAACCCCGTGAATAGACCATGATGTCATCCAGGTAGGCCAAGGTGTGACGGCCTAAAACTGGTGACAATATCAAATTCATAGTCCTTTGGAAAGTCGATGGGGCTGTACTTAGACCAAAGGGGAGGCGGCAGAACTGGAATAACCAGTACCCATCACTAAAGGCAGTCTTAGGTCGATCATCTGCATGAACGTCAATGCTCCAATAAGCTGCCTTTGCGTCTAGGGTTGTAAATGTATCCGTTGGGCCTAGCTCATCAATAAGCTCATCTATACGAGGTAAAGTTTACGTATCTGCTGTCGTGACTGCATTTACCTTCCGATAATCGACGCAGAATCGTAAGTCACCACCCTTCTTTCTTACCAGCACAACTGGACTGAGCCATGGTGACGAGGAGGGCTCTATAACCCCAGCCTGAAGCATGCTATCACACTGCTGACGAATGATCTGACGGGTAGCTTGAGGGAGTCGCCACTGGCGGGTACAAATGGGGGTTGCGTTCCCAGTGTCAATCCGGTGTTGAATGTCAGGTATGTGTCCTACAGCCTGGTCACCACCTTCAAAAAGGACCTTGTAGCGTCGGAGAAGCGCCTGTAGCTCCTGACGCTGGGCCTGCTCAAGATGTTCCAAGTTGACGACAGATTCTTCATCTTGTGATACCTCGTTTGTTCTGGTGTCAACCGATGCAACAGCAGCAAGTGCCTGAGAAGGAGGTAGATCCCAATGGCTGCTGGCAGTTTCATCTTCATAGCCAAAATCAAATAAGCCATGCGTCTGGTCAAAACTATCTTCCTCCCAGCCAAAGTCATCATCCTCCAATGAGCTCTCGAAGAAGTCAGAACTCTCAACAGGATCATCGGAATCTACACGTGTAAATATCTTTTCTATAGCCGTCACTGTTCCTAAGCGTGTCCCCTGTGTCAAACGTACCAC